CTGTTGTTGTTTTTAAAGGGTAATGTATTATTTCTTAAAGGTTAATGTATTGTTTTTAAGTGGAATTGTTTTATTTGTTGTTATTTTTAATGGGACTTTTTAAAATCTTTTAGGTAGGGTACTGTTTTCTTTAAGGGAGTATGTTGTTCTTTATAGGTTTTTGTTATTCTTTAAGGTAATCTGTTGTTTTACTTTTTGAATAATTTATCTTTAAAACGCAGTGTGCTGTTTTAAGGTAGGGAGTATGTTGTTCTTTATAGGTTTTTGTTATTCTTTAAGGTAATCTGTTGTTTTATTTTTTGCAGTGTGGTGTCATCTTTTCAGGTAATTTGTATTTCATGTTATATTTTCGAAGCTATTTCTTATTTTTAAAAATAATCTGTTGTTCTTTTTCAGGCTATTTGTTATTTTTGAAAGCTAATTCGATATTCCTGATAGGCAATTTCTTGTTTTTTTTCCGACAGTTTGCAAGTTTCCCCCAAAAAGAGTTGGAAGATGGATGGATAGATGGATTGGTGGCTATGATTTCGTTTTCCTTTCTCTTTCTGCGTTTATTTTCTCGTTTACTTAATCTCCTTCTGTTCTTCTCTCTCTCTCTCCCCTTCTCCCTCCCTCTTCTATCTCTCTCCCTGTTTAATTCTCTTTCTCTTCCTCTGTATTCTTCATACTCTCTCTGTCACTCGTTTTTTTTTTTCTCTCTCTCCCTCTCCCTCCCCCTTCTATCTCTCTTCTCTCTATTTTTTTCTCTCATTCCTTTTTATATTCATATCTCTCTCTCTCTCTCACTCTCTCTCCCTCTCCGTACCTCTTCTACCTCTCCCCAACTCTATTTCTCTCTCTATCTCTCTTCTCTCTTCCTCCCCCCCCCCAATCTCTCTCTACCCCACCCCCCTCTCCTCTTCCCTACTCCTCTCCCTTCCTCTTTTCCTCGTCGCTTTCCTCAACTTCTTCTCTACCCCCTCCTCCTTTCTCTCCCTCTATCTCTCTTGCTCTCTCCTCTCCTCTACTTCTCCCCCATCTCTCTCTACCCCACCCCCTCTCCTCTCCCCACTCCCTCCCTTCCTCTTTTCCTCAACTTCTTCTATACGCCTCCCTCTTTCTCTCCCTCTATCAGTCTAATCCCCTCTCTCTCTTTCTTCTCTCTTCCTCTCCCCCCATCTCTCTCTACCCCACCTCCCTCTCCTCTCCCCTACTCCCTCCCTCCCTCTTTCCCTCGTCGCTTTTCCTCAACTCAAAAAAAAAAAAATCATTTTAGAATCTAGGACGAAAAGTGACCAATTACTAGCTCTCGTCGACGGATCCTTCTCATCAGCCCAGAGAATATTGCTCGGCAACCAGTCGGCTAATGGCCAAGGCTAACTCAGGAGGCGTGTCCTTCTCTCTCTCTTTCTCTCTGTCTGTCTCTGTCTATCTCTGTCTCTCTCTCTATCTCTCTCTCTAATGGCCAAGGCTAACTCAGGAGGCGTGTCCTTCTCTCTCTCTTTCTCTCTGTCTGTCTCTGTCTATCTCTGTCTCTCTCATCTATCTCTATCTCTATCTCTCTCTCTAATGGCCAAGGCTAACTCAGGAGGCGTGTCCTTCTCTCTCTCTTCTCTCTGTCTGTCTCTGTCTCTCTCTATCTCTGTCCTCTCTCTCTCTCTCTCTAATGGCCAAGGCTAACTCGGGAGGTGTGTCCTTCTCTCTCTCTTTCTCTCTGTCTGTCTCTGTCTATCTCTGTCTCTCTCTCTCTCTATCTCTCTCTAATGGCCAAGGCTAACTCAGGAGGCGTGTCCTTCTCTCTCGCTTTCTCTCTGTCTGTCTCTGTCTATCTCTGTATCTCTCTCTCTCTATCTCTCTCTCTAATGGCCAGGCTAACTCAGGAGGTTGTGTCTTTCCTCTCTCTCTCTTTCTCTCTGTCTGTCTCTGTCTATCTCTGTCTCTCTCTCTTCTTCTCTCTCTAATGGCCAAGGCTAACTCAGAGGTTGTCTCTCTCTCTTTCTCTCTGTCTGTCTCTGTCTATCTCAGTGTCTCTCTTCTGTCTCTCTCTCTAATGGCCAAGGCTAACTCAGGATGTCCCTTCTCTCTCTTTTCCTCTGTCTGTCTCTGTCTATCTCTGCCTCTCTCTCTCTCTCTCTCTCTCTAATGGCAGGCTAACTCAGGAGTGTGTGTCCTTCTCTCTCTCTTCTCGTCTGTCTTGTCTACTCCTGTCATATGGCCTCTGTCTCTCTTTTTCTGTTCTCCTCTCTTTCTCTCTCTCTTTCTCTCTATCTCCTTCTCTCTCTTTTCTCTCCTGTATATCTTTGTCTCTGTTGTCTCTGTCTGTCTCTGCTTCTGTCTTCTTCTTCTGTCTGTCTGTCTGTCCTTGTCCTGTCTGCTCTTCTCTCTCTCTCTCTCTCTCTCGTCTCTAATCTCTCTCTTCTCCTCTCTCTCACTCTCTCTCCTCTCTCTCTCCTCCCTCCCTCTCTCCCTCCTCCCTTCCCTCCTTCCTTCCTCCCTTCCTTCCCTCCCATCCCTCCCTCCC